GTGAAGTATTACGTTCGAAGGGAGAGGATCAAGACACTACTCTGGCCAGACAACATCCCAGTTCCCAACCCTATCGAAAACTGCTGGAAGATAATGAGTAAAAACGTGCAAGAGAAGAAATCGAGGAGAACCTTGGAACTGCAGGAAGCTCTAATCAACGTGTGGCACCATGAACTCTCGCCTGCCTTCCCTGTCTGCATTCAATCCCTTGTGCACTCTATGCCGCAGCAATGTCAAGCAGTTATCAAGGTCAGAAGGGGCACAACCAAATATTAAAACAAGAAACATACTTTGTGACCACTTTTTGTCAATTACATTAGTGGCGTTATTTTTAAATCTAGGTTTTCTTACTCAGAGAACATTTTCGTATTTGCCAAGTACTTTTTCACCATCTGTCGTAATATGTTTGTCACGGCTAGTTTGTTAATAAAGATGCATATTTGTATTTGGATGACTGAACTATGAGTCAGCTTACATCACACAATGTCAATCACCGTTTTACTAGTTCTGACACTTCCACAATGTAAAATCTTGTAAAACATTACAGGAACCAAACAAAGTGTGAAAAAAATTGGGTGATGCAATATTTTTCCATCACTGTATATATATGTGTGTGTGTGTGTATTCAAATAAAATATATCTTCAATATTATAAATGGTATAACTGGTTTGATTGTTGTTAATCACAAAGCTATACAATGGTTTGGTTTGAATTTCACGCAAAGCTACACAGGGGCTATCTGTGCTAGCCGTCCCTAATTTAGCAGTGATAGACTACTAGAGGGAAGGCAGCTGGTCAGCACCATCCACTGCCAACTCTTCGGCTACTCTTTTACCAACGAACAGTGTGATTGGTCGTCAAATTATAAAGTCCCCCAAGGCTGAAAAGGCGAGCATGTTTGACAGGGATTCGAACCCGCGATCCGCAGATTGCGAATAAAATACCTTAACCATCAGAATTGTAGACTTGAGTAATCTGTAGGCGGATAGTTGTAAGAACAACTTCGAATTACTCTAAAGAACTATCAGATTTTGGCTTATATTTATTTATATATGTGTGTGTGTGTGTGTGTGTGTTGCTATTAGATATAAAACTAATATTATTCAAATAATTATCATTAATGCAAAATTACTAGTAACGATATTTTAAAAGAGAATAATGTTGATTCTAGTCTATTAGTGAGATCTCAGTTTAGGGTAAATCAAAGTGTTTCCTAAGAATGGACAATAAATAATCCTGACAGGTAGTATCTAATATAAAGATTTTCTGTCAGTGGCTAGATGATACTCTTAGTTAGCTAACTTTTGAAACATGGTAGTTTGTTTCTCTGTTGTATAGTGCAAAGCTACACAATGGGCTATCTATGCTATGCGCACCATAGGTGTCGAAACCCGAATTTTTGTGTTATAAGCCAGCGGGGGTGACAGAAGCATTGGATCGTGAAAGACATAACATAAGTCAACGTAAGTTCTTTTTGCCACGTATAAGAAAGTGTAAAGCTTATTAAAACCTATCCATATGAAAAAGATAAAGATTTAATACCGTGACTTCGTATTTCCTACGTTACAAAGGTATATGTATGCTGTGTTTTAAAAAATGCATAATCTCAATTTATGGTACTCGAGTGATGTATTCGAAAAGAAGGGGAAACGTCAATCTTGCTACACGGATAAGATTAACTTTCTAGATTGGAGTACGACCAACGACTGAAGCAAGCATTTAGTGCTGACAAAATGACGAATTTTTTTTATACACTCCTACAAAGGAAATATATAGTACAACTTATTAGCTCCCAACCTCCGGTCCCTCAGCGCTTAGTAAAAGAGCTTATATCGCTAAAAGTCAGGTTTCAATATCCACATATAACCCATTACGTAGCTTTGTGTTAAGAACAAACAAATTATTAGCCCCTGTTATACATTTTTAGACCTCTTCATTTGTGGGCATATACAAAATAGAATTATCGTATGATGTGACAGGTGATTTATTGGACCCTAAAAATACAGATATGTAGTTCATATTATGTTTAGTTCGCAAGAGAATGAGTAAGGACAAGGATCTCTCCTCAAGATGGAGTGATAGCAGGAGTGTCGTTTTCAACAATCATTTTTTTTTTATTGGGTGTTCATCTAGTTCTATCAACAGTGTTTGTGAAAAGAGAATAGCCTTCTACTAACAGAAACCGTGGCCACCGACTGCTGGTATTATAGATGGAATAAAACAATTGTAGGGGCCTAAACAGTATAAAGAATGTAAAAAAAAAAAGCGTCCCAATGGACTAATTCCCTGACCAGTGTTGTTTGACAGCCGACAGCTTATAACAGAATATTTCTGTCACTGACATAAACACAAAAACCCAGATTCATTAGTGCTACGAGCACAAACTATAGATAATAAATGTCTGGAAGCATGTGATCTGGTCTGACGAGGCGCATTTCACTGTTTTTCTTTACAGGTGGTCGAGTATAAATACGAAGAAACTCAGAGGGAGCATTTGAATCTACATGTTTGTCCCAACAACATAACTTGTTTGAAGGGCTACAGTCATCTACGGAACAGAGCTTGAGTCCTTTGATTTTATGAAAGGGAAAATACCATCTAGAGTGTACATAAGCGTTGAAGCCAATCAGTTTACCTTACAATCATATGCTTCCATCCTGATGGGCAAGAGATCTTCCAAGATTATAGTTCAACAATCTGTCACTCTCGTATTGATCAAAAGTGATGAGAGTGATTTCTTTTACAGCACATATACTGAATCGTTGTCGATCAAAACAGCTTCAGGAGCTTTACCATCACATACATCATCGTAAACTTACGCCAATATTTATATATGTGAGTCAACTTCAGACCATACTTCTCAACAAATAGGTTACAATCGAATAAGACACTTCCAACATCTTGTGAACACTATGCCACTCCGATACCAGACTGTTATTTCCAGCGAAAAATAGTCCAGTCCTAAAGTAGGTGGAACCATAATATACCGTTCAGTCAGTATATCTCAAGACTTATACATAAATGTAATATAATTTGAGTATTTAACGTCTTTCAGCTACATGGGCTACTAAAAATTATAATAATGTAAAAATGGGTCATTTTAATTCTAAGAGATAAAAACAGCAAAATTTTCCTATTTTATGTTTTTGATAGTGTGGCGTAATTTTAAAATGACACAAAATTAATGCATAATGGATAAATTTTTATTCTATATTTTTTCAATTCACATTTAATTACTTTAAAACGGTTAAGTGATTTAATAAGCTGTTCTATCAATTTAGTCCAGAAAATTCAAATGAGTTTTTAAAATAAAGTTAAACAAAAATAAAAGTTACTTAATAAAAAAAAAGTTTCCATCATAGGCATAAAAACCCTGTTTTTAGCGTTATAAGCATTCACACTTACAGTTGAGCCACTTGGGGGCTGGCTGAATCAGCATTATTAACAAATGTAGTAAACGTATGATTTCTCGTGTTTTTCTTCGGTTTTTTTTACTTTGAACTGAAGTTAAAAAGACCATTTATTATGACCCTCAGTGGCAAAGCTGTATATCTGTGGACTTACAACACTAGAAACCGGATTTCCATACTAGTGGTGGCAGATACTCCTTTGTGTAGCTTTGTGCTTAACTTCAAATAAACCATTCCTCATAATTAAAAATAGGGAGGGTTAATATGATATCAAACATTTTAATAAATCAATACGAAGTATTTTACAATTAAAAATATAACAGTTGTGAATAATTAATCATCACTATTAATTAAAACTGCAACTCTCTGAAGTAATATCGGCTGAATTACGTTTGACGTGTCCCATGTTAGTTAAATAATCTATATTTTTAAGAGACAATACAATATTATTATACATTGTGCAACAATATTAATAACATATAGGAGTATGTACTTAATACAATTTGAAACTACATGCTGTGCACAGTTTACTTTGCTATCAAAATATCCTCTAACAATTTGATTTTAGAAGCTCATATATTTCCTCTCCAATAGCAATATGTTTCTATTAATATGTGAATATCTATATTCTAGTTTTGTAATCAATTTATCAGTTTGATCACTACGAAAAAACCATAGTATTATTAGTAAAAACAACACCTTCATATACATCATATTGATGTAAACTATCAATAAATCAAGTTATAAAAATAAAGCTTTGTATTGCACTACAAATATTTGTTGCTACATTGGAACTCGTATTTTTATGTGAAACACATATTGATAACCACTTCTTAGGCACTTCCTGGCTTGTAGTAGTTTTATCATTTCCATGTCAACCAGTAATGTTACATCGTAATGAGTGCATCACAGTAATTTACGTAGTATGATGTTTTTTTCATGCATGTTGTTCATTGTACTACAAGTTTATCAAAGTTTAAAATAAATGCTAGATATACCATAGAACCTAACTGCGGATATATATTTTCTTTGTTGTGTTGTTTTGTAATTTTTTCATGAAATATTTTTTGAAATACTCTGTCTGTCTGTTTGTTGTTAAGCGCAAAACTACACAATGGACTATCTCTGAATGACTACAACGAGTATCGAAGCTCGATTTTTAACAGCATGAGCCCTCAGACTAGCCGCTGGGTCATTAGAGGGTGGGAGAGAAATGCTGTGTCAGGAAGAATATACAATCAACGGAAGTGGCGTTTGGCTCTTATATACACATATATAGTTTTTAACAGGCATTTTTGCATTTTACTAATATTACTGCGTTTTTTGAATGATTATTGAATTTCAAATGTATATTCCATGGTTACAAATACATAGTTGTATGATAATAAGAAACAACATACGACATATTTGAAACTAAAACTTTATTAGTCTTTCAAAATTTTCATTAAATGTCAAAATTCTCGGTTTTTTTTTCAGCTTTGTTTTTTGATAAGTGCTTGATGCTGTCTGAGATTCCTTGCCCTAAATTTCATGCTTCTATAATACATTAAAGGGGGCGCTAAACACCTTTTAGTTACACAAGCCGGTTCCAAGTAGAGGTACGTATTTCTTCATGCAGTCAATAAATTCCCGTGCAAAATAATATTATGTTAGAACCTGCGGATAAGAAGGTAAAGATGGCGTCTTCTTTGGAACAGCTGAAGCGGCATACAATTGTGGTGGCAGATACTGGTGATTTTGAAGGCGAGTAGTATGAAATATTATAATTGTTTTTAGATTTATGAAAAACGTTATTGTATGTGAGAGAGAGACAACGGAGAGCAAGAGTCTACTGTCGCTGTGTCCATAATATTGATACTATCATTATCGATAACTGAATAAGTCATTAAAAAATATAATTGAAATTTTTAATCGAGTTTATTAATATTACAATCAATAATATGCTAGATTAGGAGGTTACTTGTAATAGTAATACCAGCCCCTTTGATTTGTTACTTATTTAATTATAATAAATTGTATTACTTTTTTGCGAGTTATTAATGTGTAAATTTTCTTTTTTACTGATAAATAATGAGGGGTATTTCGCTATTTATTTGTTATGCACACTTGTTTCTTTCAATGTGGATTTTTGTTTCTAATTTGTTGTGATTTTAATTTCTGAAGTTTAAATTCAAGTAAGAAATGCACAGATTGAAGTGTCTGTAACTATGTTTTTTAGATTGGGGATAATATTTTAACTTCAATGATTTTTCATTTTTTTTATTGAATAATTGCAGTTTACTTACTAAAATTTTCATTGTTAAATATGTTTAGTACTGACCAGTGTAATCACACTGCTTTGATCAGAATTTCTTTATAAGTAACACATGCTTCTTTGTTTCTATGCAGATAATGTTTTGCAACACTGTTGCAAGCTAGAAATTGAAGTTTTTATTGATTTTTGATATTATTCTTCTTCTTATTAAGTCTAAGATTTCTGATAATTTTGCATAGTGTTTTTTTTATATTTTCTAAGACATCTAGAACCAACATTAAGAAGTGTGGAACTCTGAAGTCATTTTTCATATTCTTTGCTCTATCAGGAAACATTTTGCTATACAATCTACTGTTCCAGATTCTGTTTTACTCTTAGCATTACATATGGATAGCAGTTGTTTGTTTCTTCAAGACTTCTACTCCCATACTAAATAAATCAAACTAACACCCTTCCTAATCTTAAACTTATGTTAAGTGCCACCTCTACTGGTGCTAACAGCAACTTGTTCCATAAGCTAGTCACCCTGTTAGAAAAATAAAACTGAAGCTTAGCCTTTATTTTCCAAATCTTAAACGTTTGTCCTCTTGTTTTATCTTTAAAGTATAAAGGTTTTTATTTATTTATTTAGGGATAAGCTGAAAGTGAAATTAAAATGTGCATATTTCTGTTATTACTAGCCTTTTGTATTACTACTAGAGCAACCATATAAGAATTCCTCCATTACTGTAATCAATCTAGAAGTGCTACCCTGAACCCTTTACAATAACTATATTTTCTTGGGAGAAGGAGACTGAAACTGTACATAGTGCTCTGAGGCCTAACTAGTGAATTGTATAAGAGATGATTATTTCTTTTGATTTGTAATCTGTGTTTATAAGTGCCCCTGAAATTCTACTAGTTTTACTACTTAAAATGGATTACTGCCTTGATGGTTGGTGTTGCTTATCCATCCCTGTGCCAAAATCCTTTTAATCCATTATACTACTCGGTGGGTTCTCATCTATGTGAAATGTGTGGTTCCAAATTATAACCCAATAAATTATACTTATTATAATTAAGTCGTCTGCTATGTATTTGTCTAACCTAAGTTAGACACCATGATAACAAGACCAAGTTAAACTGGACTGTATTAATAACCAGTTTTTCACTTATCAGACTTTTGGCAGATTGAAGCAAAATGAGTCCACACTCTTTCTATATTTATTGCTATGTTAATTTGCCTGTGCTATCCCTACTATCATGCTTGCATTGTTTTGAGGGATTTGTACATTTACTTCTTTTATATATATATATATATATAGTTGTATTTATAACAGAGTTCTAAATATGAGATTCCAACTGTAATATTTATTGTTTATCTATTATTGGCTGGTAATTCCTGTTTCACCTTGCACTTCTTTTTAAAGGAACACTAAATTTCTGTAAGAGCTAACTTCAAAGGATACTGATAACATCATTTTCACTAGAATTATGATTTTAAGAAATTACTAATAGTTGTTAATAATACTTATCAAAGCGGATACTCTGTTTGAAACCATCACCTTGGTGACATTGGTTGACACCATTGTTTTGGTTTTTGAGTTATCATGTAATAAAAAAAAAAAATATATATATATATAAAAAAAAAGCGGAAGAAAAAAGAGCAAGAAATTCCAACCTTTTTGCAATAATATTTACAGACATTCCCAGAACTTGTGACTCGGTCATTACATGGCTATTATTGTCAAATTAAATACTGTGTAGTATTGTAAAGTTCTGATGACCTATTGAGGAGATATTTAAAATATCATTTCAATGAACAATCTGAGTCATTTCTACATAGCCAGTGCTACCACCTGTCTGATTGTTTGTTTGGATGGTTTAACTGTGAATGTAAAATGTATTTCAATGTAAAGTAATTCTTGGACTTGTAACATATAGTTCTTTTGCTAGTATCTGTACATCAATTCAAGACTGAACTTCACTTGTGTGCACTCAAATACTGTAATTGATGTTCACGTTAATATAACATCAAATCTCATTTTCTTCTAGCAATGAAGCAGTACAAACCAACGGATGCCACCACTAATCCTTCCCTGATTCTACAGGCTTCTTCTCTTCCACAATACCAGACTCTTATTGAAAAGGCTCTGAAGTATGGAAGGGGTCATGGAAGGTGAGTGCTGAGAATTTTTACTTAGGCTATCGGTGGTTATGGCAGAAAAAGGAATGTGTAGATATATTATTCTGAAATTTATCATTCCTCTGTTATTGAATTGCCTGCAAATGGCTGTTTTCAAAAGTCATGTTGTGCATAGTTGTGAAAAGCTGTTCTTCTTTCTTTCAAATACTGCTTTGATTATACTGCTATGAATTGTTTGACCTCGTTACTTCTGCCACCTACGTTGGATGGAGATTTTCAACCCTCCTACTCCTGTGTGTGTGTGTGTGTTTGTCAGCAAGATTGCTCAACTGGCTGGATGGATTTGGATGAAAGTTTTATGTATATTGACTATGACCTAACTTGAAAGTGATCTAGTTTTTGTTTATGTAAAGGTCACGAAAAAAAAAATTCATATTTGTTAACATGGTGGCCAATTTTTTACATTATTTTTGATCAGTGACTCAGTCAGAAATGATTGGATTTTGATAAGTTGGTGGACATGTGTAGAATATTTTCTCATTCTCCTGCCAGAAATGGTCTGTCCACTGTTAATGACTGACATAGGGCCACATTCTTGTATGTCTTCAGAGCATGGTAGAGGTACGCACTCTATTGAATGTCCTTCTAGTTAAATATCTGTGTATTTATATACTGTGCAAGTCCTAACATCTGAAGGAAATTTAAAAAAATTAGTAATTGTGAAAGCTTGTTCTTTTAGTACAAGAAGTAAATAATAAAATAGTTTTCATGCTTTCGTAATAACTTCG